AGTTCGTATCGTCTAGTATATCGGGAGATGTGCATTTATTGCAAGAAAAAATAAAAATACTTTTTCCGCATTATAATATAAAGTTAGGTTATACATCATATTTTTTTGAATTCATGAAACTTAACCTCTAAAGGTATAGAGGTTGCGACTACCTATTTTCTTGTTCACATTTTAGCAGTTGTATTTTTCTCTTTTTACCTCTGTTTGTCTCAACCCCTCTCCTCTTTTTTATACTCAATGTAGGGCAACTTCGTTCTTCGCACCCATGTTTGCTTAGGATAAAATGGATATTTTTTTTCTTACAAGTGATTAACCCAAATATGCGATGACACGTGTGTACCCTTTCTCCCTCTCAAATTTCGCTTTTTATCTTTCACATAGTTGCTAAATTGATAGTAGAACTTCCAAGGGCAACGCCGGTACGCCCTACGTACGTGACAACCCAAATTATCTGTACAACGCTGATTTTAATTAATTTCAACGAGGTGCTGCTATTTATTATATAGAAAGTGTTGTCACTGTAAAAATGTTTCAATATTGAAAATAGAAGTTTATATTTGTTATCCATGAAACTTTAAAGTTCTTATGAAGGGGATTCCTCAAGAACTTGTCCGAGGAACTGAGTGGTATTTTTTTTCAAATTTGATTTATCCCTGATATTTAATATAAAATTAAAAGACTCTCATGTACCTTTTTCATGATAGTAAAGGAGTATCTATTTTCAAACTCTTCCTTAACAATTTTACTCATCGATGGGATCGATTAATGAATTAATTAATACATATTTCATAATATAAGACAAAACATACAGGGTGGTTGTCTATGAGATGCAAAGAAATGGGTGGTACTAGACTGTCAATGGAATTACAAGATGTAGTTCTAACCTAGCTATCGAGAAGATAGTTGTTTTAAATTTTTTATTAACAATTTGACAAGAAATATTTATTACATTTATCTATATTTTCTTTGCTTCCCAAATATTTTTTTTAACGAAATTGAGATAATTTTTAAAATTTAATTTTGGTTTGAAATATTTATTACATTCATCTATATTTTCTTTGCTTCTCAATTTTTTTTACCGAAATTGAGGTAATTTTTAAAATTTAATTTTGGTTTGAAATATTTATTACATTTTTATCTATATTTTCTTTCCTCCCCAAATATTTTTTTTAAACGGAATTGAGGTAATTTTAAATAATTACCCTTTCTATGTGAGGTCTTAAATTTATCTCAACTAGACCTTACATAGAAAGAATAATTAATTGAAAGAAGTACCTTGGTCAATTGACCACTAAAATGTAAACTGAACTAATTTTTAAAATTTAATTTTGGTTTGTAGTATTTAGTTTTTCAGGTATTAAAAAATTGTCATAAATACAAATTATATCTTTCCCTTTACTTAAAACGTGACGATACCCTTTTTTAGGTAGGATATACCACACTTATATAAAAAGAGTGTACCGATCCTACCAAGCATACCACTCGAATGCTTATTAGATGAAGCACTTTTTGTTAATTTCACCAAGCTCTAGTAAATTTTTTTAAAGCCTACTGAATTTTTTCCAATTCCTTCAAAGTTCTTCCAGTTTTCCAGTTTTATAGGCTTCTAACAGCGAAACGGCCTTCATTTGGAATGAAACGGCTAACCTTTCTTTAGACAATTTACCATATACTATAAAACGCACACCAACAATGATGAAAAATACACAGGTTACGGGCACAATTTTTTTTTGTCGTGTCCGTTTTATCCGAAAAAATAATTAAACAATCGTATCCTCTTGGCGGAGTGAGTTAGAAGACCCGTTTTTACGACATTCTACAACATTTACAGTCCAATATCAAGAAAGGGGCGTCGGCGGCCGGTTTAGGCGTTGATACGCCGGCTCATCACTGTAATGAACTAAATGAATAAGTCATAACTCAAAAACTGTCCGGTGTAAAATTTTAATGCAAGTCTAAATCTCAATGATAATCCAACTTTTTTACCTAGGTATACCAAAAATTATTTTTAAATATTTAATAGTTGTTATTTAAAATTTTCTAAATTACCAAATTGAATCAATTACGACATTCTAAGGGCCAAAATGCAAGATTTTTTAATAAGTCCTGCAACATGTGTGTACGCAGTGAGAGCATTCTAAATTGTTTTTAACTCCTCTATTCAACATTGATTGATAATGTTTTAATAATTTGACCACGCTAAAATATTAATAATTTTCCATATTTCCATAAGATCATTTTGTAAAACAAATCGCTTATTGTTAATCTATTATATGCAATATTTCTCTTATAATTGTTTTAACGTATAATGTAATGTTTTGTAATTCAAAGCCATCTTGGCTTGTACAGTTATGAATGACAGCATTTATCATCTTTTTTTTAAATTACACTCTAGTCTTTTTAATGTCTCTTTGAGTAAATTATCTATATAGAACGCTTACTGCCCTATAAAAAACAGACTTTACAGCGACCAAAACTTCACTACTACGTCCACCACCCCGTCTTGAAACCTACAGGCCTGCCGCAGAAAATGGTTTTAATTGAAGTTTAGAACTTTTCTGAGTTGTAGAATCAAGTTGCTTCCAAAGGTGGCTTTAAAGTATAATGGAACTCTCTATCTCTCTGTCTGGTACAGAGGATATAATAGCTACTAAAGAAAAATATGAAAAACTCCTTTATGAATTTTCTTTTATTTCTTATAAATGCTCATTGAAAATTTAATTTCTGTCTTTGCAAAATAATTAATTATTGAAATTGTTTTTTAATGGCCGTATTGAACATTGATTTTCACCTTATTTTTTCCTTTGTGCTAACATTTGCCTTCGTTCGGTGGACCGCAACTTCCCTTAAATAATAATTATTCAGATATCGATTAACGGTCACTAATCTCTATACACTTAAATAATAATACCAAGCATTTTCTGAACGACTCTGCACAAAATATTTTAAGAGTATTTTCAGTCCAATCATCAAAAGAGAAACCGAACTCATAAAGAGCCAAGGAGCATTACAATAACAAAGACAACGTACGCCTTTTCGTTGACACTCTAATTTTCTTGTCATATAATTTTTCTTTAACATTATTTAATTAGCGGATTTTTATTATGTTTGCTGTTTCTATTTTATCTGTTATTTCCTACAACCGAAGTGTTTTTATATGTTTGCTGTGCTGGTACGATCAATACAATGTTTGTTACGGTAAATAATACCGAAAGATTTGTCAATATCTTCTCATGTTGAAATTCATCCCTTTGTACAGTTATGAAACGATCTGGGTTTGTTTTTCGTTTGTCGAGATAAATATAATTTAGTTCAAATCTATTTCATCTATTACACTAGGATTTGATACAATTCAAAATAAATTAAAATGTGCTAAGAAGTACTCGGATTTTAGTAGCAATTTAAAAGTCTTACTTGGTACAGAAAATAGAGTTAATCACATTGACACACACACTTTCATTACATGTGCAATATTTCGAACCGTACCAACTAAGGTTGGCCTGAAAGATTATTTGGAGATCGTGAGATGCGGTCTGGTGTCACGTAGGTTTAGAAAAACATTTCCATTATCGTGCCAACGTTTTGATCTTATCGTATATATCTTCGTATATAATCCTGAAAGGATAATAAGGCCGAACCCTACCCATTCTTTCCCATTGTCGGCTTCTTTCACCTCAAAGAAACCGGTTTCTCAAATAAAAATGTTTATCTATCCCTATTTCCTTCTACACCCCTTCAAAATCCAACGTAAACATAAAACATCAATATCCCACTGGCACTCTCAACACGACACAATATAATGACACATCTACCCAGAAAACAAACACTTTGAGTAGTACAAGTACTTGAGATTGAGTCTAAAATGTCTACCATTGTATAAATTCACTTTTTCACCTCTTACATGTATTTGTATAATTTAAACAATGTTTATAAATCCCAGGCCCTGAATATGATCTCAATAAAGATTGAAACGTTGGCACGAGAAAGAAAATGTAAATCTACGTCACACCAGACCGCATCTCACGATTTCCAAATAATAATTAACTAATTGGTCACTAAACACCACACCTTTGTCTTATTTGAATTACATTGCTGTACGTATCGTCTTCATTCAAAATTAATGAAAACATTGCATTTATTTTGGCTATGATCACAAAATATATATTTTAAAAAACAATAACAACCAATCTGAGCTAATATTGTTGGTGGTGATTTAGCATAAAATGTTTCTTTGCCAGGTTTCGTTACTTTGCCGATTGCTGACGTGACGTTGCCTAAAATGTGAACCTTAAGTCGAGGAGAAAACCATTTCCCTTTAAAATAAATGTGCCTTACACATCTCGAAAAGTTACCTCAACGATTAGATAATTTTGTATATTTGTAAACATATTTTAACTCAAATAACTCATATACTAAAATAGAATAATTGTATTTACCTACGTCCTAATGAATATTTAAAAAGATATGTTTTTTATCTATTGGTATTTTTCATTTGCCTTAAGTTTTGATTTATTTTAGAGAGATTCTTTGTTTTGGTTTAGTGTAATACCTAATCTAGCTCCTACGTTCCTAACATAACTGGTCCTGTTCTTCTCCTATGATCGAAAGGTTTCTCTTTTCTCATGCTTTTCTCTCTCTTATTATTAAAACAGTCTTCAATTACGCGACTCTCCGACCAACCTCTGTGCTTCGAAATCGTTATCTTCCACCTGAAAATCATCCGAGATTCTACGGCGAGGTCAGGAGAATCGGGCCCGCGCTCCCTATACTTCGTGCAGCCGTTACTCTCACTTTGTTTATTTTAATTTCAAATTTTTCATCAATTTATTTTATTTATTAACTTTTTATTCCTATTTTTTCTCATTATGTTTTTTCTTTCCACGGCAGTGGCCGTAACACCAATACTTTTTTAGGGTTTACACGCTAGAGACATAATTTGAAAGTTAAAAAGAAATGGTTGTGATTATTATGTTTTGACAAAAGTAATTCCAAATTTTTACCTGAGGCACAGCACAGGAGAAAGCGATGGCCCATATCCCGATTACAAATTTAATAGCTCGTGACAGTTTTGAAAACGTGTGCATCAGAAACGGATGACAGATGGCTACATAGCGTTCTATCGTGAACGCCGTAATCGTAAGCACTGTGGCGTTGGAAGATGTTTCTGATGCAAGACCTGACAAGACGCAAAACCACTCTCCAAACAAGTAAGGATACCTGAAACCAAGAAGCCATTATCATAAATGTAAAAATTAAAAAGTCGACTGTTACTTACTTAGACCAATTATAGACCATTTCTTGTGGCAAGCCTGAGACCAATAGTAAAAGATCGGATATAGCGAGTGAGAAAAGGTAGTAATTGGTCGCAGTGTGCATATGCCGGTTCCTGGCGATGACTATGCACGTGCTGACGTTGCCGATGATGCCCGTAAAGAAAATGAAAGAGTAAAGGATCGTAACTGGAATGACTATGTATAGAGAATCACGCGTCGGACCCCACAGTTTTCCGTTGTCAACGGTTCTGAAACAAGTAAAAATTTAATTTACAATGCAAAATTACTGTTTATCAAGCGGGATATTTCAGTAATATAGATTAAACTGAATTAAATGAATTGAATCAAAATTTGGAAAGCGAATTGTGCATTCAATTCGATTTATAGAATGGATAAAAAGCCAAATATTCATGCCCAGTGTGTACGAGTTTATAATGGGGGCCTTAATTGACCTTTTTGGGTGCAAATGCGTTGCGGAAACGCCTACAAAGTTCAGCAGATTGAACATCATTGTTCAATGTCATTATATCATTCAGGTTCTACAGTTCAATTCAGAATCGCAATTTGCCACAACAATGAAAACCGCATTTCACGATCTCCAAATAATCGTTATTTATTTATTTAGAATTTTCATTATACATTTTCCTTATAAGTGATTGGGTTTAATTTTTCTGCTTTACCGAGTATTTTTTGAATTTCCTTTACACTTAGTTATTAAACACCATATTGTTTTTCAAAGGGTACAAATATTATGAACATTATATTTGCTGCTCTAACAACTTTAGCTATTGTGACTTCGATCTACTCTGGCACCAACTCATCTCAACCTACAATCTTTTATATTTTCCCTCTTTTTGCCATATTTTCAAATATTGTGTAATCAGGATTCGATTATCAAAAATTTCCGCATTTAAATACATTGTTGCTCTAATAGAACAACGAATTTTTAATATCTATATTTATTAATTATTAAGGATATTACAATACAAATATGTGTCAAAACAATGTATTTTGTGAAATTTCACGTTCCCTTTGATCTATCAAGCAAAACATGAATGATCGGATTAATGGTTTACTAAGTTAAGAGGATACCGATTTAGTTGCCCCATTCTCCTTGGTTTTGTTTCTAGAAGGGACACTCAACCAATATTAGAACTTTTTAAATAAATTTTAATTAAACTTTTTCTGCTAAATAAATAATAAAGTTTAAAAAATTAAAAGTTTCTTACACGAATTTTTATATTAAGAATCACCGTGATTTTCCTTTTGGAATAAAGCAGAATTATTAACAAAGTTTAGATTCAGCTAAATCCTTTTTTTATTATATTAAAATACTTTATGTGTAAATCATATTGTATAAACGTTTAATTGACTTCAACAGGCGTTTTGAATCGAAAAAGCCGATTTATAAATATACACAAGAAAACCAGTGTAATTAAAATATTAATTGAAACTGCCACCAAGCTTAATTTTTTTTTCTCTTTCACTTTTTACGGTTTATTCTTATGTCTAAACAAATGTGTTAGAAAATTACGCAGACCAGTTGTGAAGCTTGTGGCATTTCTTTGAATACGATAGTTTTTAAAAATTTTATTTTTTGGTAGGCTCATTATTTAAACGTTTGATCACACAAAAATGAATTATTAGACAGTAAAACTCGTTGTTTCGTTTAATTTCTGCTGGGAGATGAAACTAATTTTTTGGTAACTGCATCGATTGATTGATTTATTTAAGCTCAATTCTGCACATTGTGGAAGGAACAACAATGCTGTCTGGTTAAAGCTGTCCAATCTGGTTAAAAGACTGGTATGCAATTTTATTAATTCTCTAATTAAAACGAAATTCTTGTTAAGAACTGGAAAACACTAATAACCACACCACCAGGTTCGTGTGTCACGGATTTGGATCAAACTTTTTTTGGTGATTCTATATTCCAAAATATCGGACACGTACCCGCCACTTTAATATCCACTATGAATAGGCCCTGGTTTAGCTAAATTTTTTTTGATGGTTGAAATTTTCAGTTTTTTAATATTTGTATTTCGCCGTTCTGCTTACTCAAATCAACTATGTGAATATATCATTTTACAGCATTTTTTATGTAGATTGCAACAAAAATATATAGTAAAAGCTATCAAATTTATCAATAAACAAAAAAATAAAAAACCAAATATTTTTTAAGTAGACTAGGTCATATCACAATTAATTAAGGTTTTTAGTTGAGATAAAAAAGTCAATGGCACGAGCGGGATTCGAACCCACGATCTTCGGCTTGACGCCACTGCTCTACCACTTGAGCTATCGTGACCTCGATCCACTCGGACACCAACTTCTTATCTCAACCCCACCTTTCGAGTTTTCCCTCCTTTTTGCCATTTTTCAAATGTCGTGTAATCTATTTGATACTCGGCGATAAATGAAATGGCTACGGAGAGCTTTAGTGAACTCACTAAAATCCAATGGCCAAAAGGGGGGAAAACTCAAAAGGTGGGGTTGAGATAGGAAGTTGGTGTCCGAGTGGATCGACGTCACGATAGCTCAAGTGGTAGAGCAGCGGCGTATCAAGCCGAAGATCGTGGGTTCGAATCCCGCTCGTGCCATTGACTTTTTATCTCAACTAAAAACCTTAATTAATTGTAATATATTAATTGGTCAAGCGGACTACGAAATTAGAGAACTAGGCCATATCTTTTTTTTTTGTGAAACCAATATAAAATTTCGTTTTAGCACCTCTAAAGACCTCTGAATATAAATTTTTGTTTGATGTTGTTTATAAATTTTTTGACCTCCAAATTTTTCCGATTTGAAACAAGTCATTCTCGGAATATCTAATTGGAACGGCTACAATTCAATATCGGCTAAAACAATTTTAACGTTTAACTTACGATTTGAAAGAAGAAAATTCCTATCTATTTCAACGCTTCGTATATCTTCGAATTTCCCAAACTTTAATCCTCAAAACTTATATAACTTCATCGTCACGTTCTTGAAAGAAAAGAAACGTAGATTTTTAACGACGTATGTACCATCAAAATATATAATAGATTTCTATAAGAAAATACATAAAATAAGAAAATATTATTACCAGAAATTGAGTTTGTTTTATCCGATTTTAATGTTTGATACAATTATAAAATCAATTTGTCAATTTCTTTAAAACTAATTATCATTTATGAAAATCGGTGTTTTAAGTATTGGGAAAAAGTATGTTAGGGCTTGCACTAGGAATGTCAGCCACGCAGAAAGTCGTTGAAATTATCAGTCAAAAAATTAATTTACAGCGATTTCCTCTAATATCGGTAGCTAAGCTGAAATAACGACAATGAGATCAAATCCAAGTTTTGTCCATTTTCTGAACTACTTTGCGTACAAAATATTGATTGAAATATGCAAAAGAGAGTATTTTGTTGATTTTTCGTTTTAAAACATTCCAAATTAGAATATTCTGCCTATGTATCTAAATAACTTATCATAATAATCAATAAATATCCTTGCCCCTTAACCCTTCACATGTGTCGTCGTGTGAAAAAACGATTTGTGATCACATTTGTAATATATTCTAGAAGGTAAGGGTTCAAATAAAAAATGAAAAAATATATACATTAAAAAAATAATTAAAACGGGCCAACAGTTCGGCATGACACAGACGTTCTACGGGTTTAGCCTAGCCTATAGTCGTTAACTTAATTTTCTGTTTTTAATCATTTACAAAATGTATGTGTATTTATATTAAGTGCCTTAATTTTAAAAGTATAATGTTGGGGGATATTTTTATTTTATTTATTTGCAGTAACTGGAGGATGTTTTCTTTTTGATTTGTATGTTTCGATACCTCACCAAGTGCACTCTTCAGCTCAAAAGCCTCATGAATGATTGCTACTGACTGATGACTGATTTATTTAAGCCCAAATCTGTGCACGCTCCCGGAAACTGTAAGTGGTGCCTAGCGAAGTGAGCCGTGAAACTGTCTGTAAACCGAATTAATGATATTTGGATAATAAAATTTAAGGTAGGTGAAAGAAATATTTTTAATTTAGTTAATATTGTTTGTTTAATTATCAATATTTAAAATTCAATTATAATTTATTAGGCGGATTACTTTTTAAATTTTCTTTCTTTTCCCTTAATCTTTTACACTACTCTCTAATTCCACCTCCGCTGGTAGGAAACCGGCGGAATGAGGGTGACAAAACTGGCATCAGTGCGTTTTATTCACAACAATGAAGCTTTGTTCAAAATCGAATTTTCGTCGCAATTAAATAATCATAAATCGTGATTTCGAGATTAAAAAATATTATCTTTGGTGTATTAATTAAGTTGGTATGGTTTAAAAAAATATCAACAAAACATTGCTTTTTTGCATATTTTAATATAAAGGGGTTAAGTACGTAAAGAAAGTCGGATAATTCGATAATGGTCAAAACCTGGATTTCACCTCATCATCGTTATTCTAGCGTTATAAAACCCTTAGATATTGACTTTCAAGAAAATCGGTGTAAATTAATTTTTTGACTGATAAGTTTGATGACATTCTGCGTGACAACATTCCTAGTACAAGTTCATACATCATTTTTCTCAATACCTAGAATACCCATTTTCATGGATGTTAATTCAAGCATTAGAATCTGACTATTACTTCATTTAAAAAACAAGGTTAATTTCTGACAAAAATAGTTTCTTATTTTATGTATTTTCTTATCAAACGTTTCTCTTTTTCCAAAAAGTATGTTTGACGATAAAATTGTTTTAGCCGTTTTTGAATTATAACCGTTTCAATCAGATATTCCGATTATGAGTTCTTAAAAATTAGGGGTCAAAAAATCGATAAATTTAAATTGAAAGAAAAATTTATATTTTGGGGTACAGGTGCTGAAACGAAATTTCATATTGGTTTCTCGAAAGAAAAAGTTTACTTGAAAAATATTTGGTTTTTAGAAAATGTTTGGTTATTGATAAACTGTGATAGCTTTTACCATATTTTTAATGCAATCTACATAAAAATACTGTAAAATGAGTATTCATGTAGTTGATTTAAGTAAGTAGAACGACGCAATAAAAATATTAAAAAAGGAAAAATTTCAGCTTTCCAATTTTTTTGGTGACAGGGCCTATACACAAGAAATGGTGGATAAGTGTACGATATTTTGTAATGTAGAATCACCAAAGAAATTCTGGTCCAAATCCGTGACACACCAACCTGGTCGTCTTCTCTCGTTTGTTCAAAAATTAATCTTTTTAAAAGAAAGCT